TTTTCCCAAGTTCCTCTCCAGCTCTCCTGGAGCTCCCCTAGGCACTGGAAGGAGCTGTAAGGTCTCCCTGGAGCCTTCTCCTCTCCAGGTTAACACCCCCAGCTCGACTCCAGAGCAGAGTGGCTCCAGCCCTCGGAACATCTCTGGACTCGCTGGAGCAGCTCCATAAGCTTCCAATGCTGGGGGCCTGAGACCTAGGGTTCACAGGGGAGTTCAAACGGGGTAGCACAAAGAAACGTGCTGAAAAGGCCCGAGAAGAAACGGGAAAGAGAATCGGAGAGCTGCCGGGAAAGGCCTGACACCAGCGGGGGCCCGAGATCTCCCGCGCGGGGCGCACAGAGCGGCCAGGCCGAAGCTGTGGGTAGGGGGCTACCAGAGGCAGCTCTGACGCGCCGGGGGCGGCAGCGGTGCCCGGGGGACCCTCGGAAGCAGAGTGGGCCCGGCTGGGCCGCGCTCCGTGAGGGAGCGCCTGGCCATGAGGGGACCCAACATGGCGGCGGGGCGGCCGACCGGCAAAGCGGGGCGGGGGCGCGGCGCTGCCCTCCCCTCACCCTCCACCCTGGGACCCCGCCGGGGGGGGCCGGGCCGGGGAGGCGGCACTCACTGAGGACGAGGACGGGGCGCGGGCCCATCATCGCGGCGGGTGGAGAGCGGCGGAAGCTTCTGGAGCCCCGGACCCGCCGCCTCACGGGGCCGCCACGGCGCGCCCCGCCCCGCGCTCCTAGCCGGCCAATCGCGGGGCGGGCGCGCGCCCAAAGGCCAATCAGGAGCGGCACCGCCTCGCCCCGGGAACGCCCACCGGCCTGCGGCTGGGGAGTGACACCCGCGGGGCGGGGCTGCGCATGCGCAATGTGCGTACCGGAGGGGCGAGGGTGCTCCATCACTCCGAGGGGCGGCGGGGCCGACACACAGCGGGCAAGCTCGCTCCGACACCCGGAGTCCTCAACAACCCTTTCCCCTCCCGCAGAGTGGTCCCAGGGGAGCGGCGGGTCCTGATGCGGCCCCGCCTGTGGCTCCGGTGTCCCCTCACGGCCAAGGGGTGCCCCTCCCCACACCCCGGCAGCCATTTTGTGTCCCGGCCGGTTCTTCAGTGTCGCGCCCACGAACCGAGGGGCGGAGGGGGCGTGAGGGGGGCGCGGGGACAGCCTTTGGCAACGGCTCAGAATTCGGAGCTCTAGGATGAGAAAGCATTGGGGTGGCACATGGAGCCAGCCAGGGGGCCCTGGAGAGGTGCCCACGGGCTGTTCATGGAGGAACATGTGCCCAAAGGAAGCCCCGGGCCCTTCTGCCACCAGAGGCAGCTGCCTGAAAACACGGGCACAGGAGTGCTCTCGGAGCTCCCTGGAAATGCTGGCAGGTTTGTTTTGTTACTGCCTTTGCACCAGTGAGGTCGGGAAGTGTTCTAATCTCTGGGCACCCAGATGCTGGAGACTGGGGCGGGGTGAGTTAAGCAGAGCATCCCCAGTGCAGGAAGGGACCAGTCTGGGGATCCCTGCACCTCATTCTTGAGGAATTTAAAATCCTCCTCCTTGCCCTCCTCCCACATCTCTTTACAGAGCCTCCATGGCCCTGGGCAAGCTGGTGGGACAGAGAACAGCTTTGACAGGGTCCTCCAGTACCACCTCTTGGGGTAGAGCAGCAGCTCTGACATGCTCTATCAAAACAGGTCTGTGGTGCACCAGAGCAAGCTCCTTCCCACAGGGCACACAGCAACAGAGGGGCCCCGAGACAGGACACTCTGGAGAAGATGCAGCAGGGCAAGTGGGGGCTGGGAGGGAGCACAGGGGGCAGAGCCCCACAAACAGACCCTCTGGCCACTTCCACACTCGTATCACTGCGGCTGCAGAGGAGCAGGGGGGTATTCTGGCTCGAAGGGGGCTGACAAAGCATTTTGGGACTTTTGGGGGTTTTTTTACTGGTTTCTTTTTTTTAAAAAAACCCAGAAGACACCCAATGACAGCGATCAAGTCCCTTTGCTGAGAGGGTTGAAGCACAGCCCAGGCAATGCCTGGCAGAGGACGGTGCAACCCAAAAGCACCCACTGCTTTGGTGGGGTCGTGACTGTCCTTTCCTGAGCCTTGGGGTGCTGGTGGCATTTTTCTCCACTCAGTTCTTTTTGGTCTTGGGGGTGTCATACTTCCTCTTGCTCGAGTACCACAGCAGCAGGGGAATCCCGATGGAGGGCAGGGTCATCACACCAAATGCCGCCCAGTCCAACTAGAGGGAGAAATGGTTGGAGAAAAGTCAAAACAAGTCCAGAGGAGTCCTAAAGCAGTGAGGCCAGAGGAGGAGACTGAGGGGAGACCTCGCCACGGCCTGCAGCTTCCTCACGAGGGGCAGCACTAATCTCTGCTCTGTGTGACCAGGGACAGGACCCAAGGGAACAGCA